AGACAATCGATTCTTATTCCAAAACCCAACAAGGATCAAACAGATCCGGGATCTTATAGACCGATATCTCTAATAAACCAAGATGCTAAGATTTTTACTGCTATATTAGCAAATAGATTAAATAGATTTATAGCAAATTATATTAAGGAAGACCGGTGTGATTTTATTAAGGGAAGACAAATGGATAATTTAACTAGACGAGTTTTGAATATTATATAGAAAATGAAAAAATAGAAGCAACTGTTTTATCATTAGACATATTTAAAGCTTTTGATTGTGTTGAATGGCCAACACTAAAACTTCTTATAAGGGGTTGGGGATCTGGCAAAAGATTTAGAGGGGTTATAGATCAATTGTATTCAGAAAATACTTCAGAAGTAATAGTTAATGATGGTTTAACGGAATGGATTTTTCTAGGCCGAGGTATAAGACAAGGCTGTCCACTTTCACCAATATTGTTTTATATGGTTATAGAATTGCTAGCTAATGCAATAAGAAATGATGAATTAAAGGATTAAGAAAAAATGATACAATTAACATTAATTTATTTGCTGATGATTCATTATTGACTATTAAAAACCCATTAGAGAGTATGGACAATATTTAAAAGCACTTAGAAAAATTTGGGGAAATAACAGGATTAATTATTAATTGGCAAAAAACACAAATAATGATGTTTAATCATAATATACAGGAACAAGAAATGTTTATGAATAAATATAGTTTTAAGATGTGTAATCATGTTAAATATTTAGGTATAAATATAGTTAGAATGACTCAAAAATTAAAGGAGAAAAATTTTAATAAACTAAAAATTGATATTATAGATAAATTGCAAGAGTACTCTAAATTGAAATTATAATGGTTTGGGAGAATCGCTATGATTAAAATGAAAATATTACCAAAAATTTCCTTTTTAATTAGAATGCTCCCAATACAATTAGAAGAAGAGGATTGGCAGGGATTAGGTAATGGATTTTGTAATCAAGGTAAAAAAAATCTAGAATAAAAGATAATTGTATAAGGCCCCCCAAAAAGGAGGTTTATATAGCAAATCAATTAAGATTTATGGGAGAGATAATAAAGAAAAATTAATTTGGTGGGATATGGAATCTTCAGACATAAATAGGAATGTTGAAAAATACTTGTTTAATGTAATAAAAAGAAATAAAATAAATCAGATGAAAAACCCCTTTTTAAGAAATATGTTAAATATATGGAATAGATATAGAGAGAAGCCATGTCCCTCAACTTCACCATTAAAATTAGTAACTGAAACAGAAAGTTTTCCTACAAACCTACAGAGTTTAGTAGATTTGTTTAAGGATAAAAGTGTTGCAAGATTGAAGGACTGGATGAGTAAAGTGATTTTGAAGGAGTTGATTATGTGTACACTTCAAACTAATAAACTATCATGGTATAATTATATTCAGTTAGACATTTGAACAAATGAATGGTTGAAAACTAATGGTAAATGTAGAGAATGCACTAGGAACAATTTCTGTCATCACATGAAGATATGCAGAAATATGCTTTGATGAAGGGAGTAGTAAGTAGAATATATACAGTAATATGATTTTGGAACCAGAGGAAAAGGAGGGGAACAAAAGGTTTGAAATTTGGGAAATGATTTAAAGACAGAAATTAAAATAAAGGATTGGATGAAAATGTGGAGGATGAGAGTCAATGTTGATAAAAATAAAGGAAAAAATTAAAATCTGTTTAAAGTGCTATTTGACTTCCATAAAATTGAATATAATAAATTCGGATTACTCCAAAACTTGTTGGAAATGAAATGGAGAAATTGGCATGTATTATCATATGTGGTGGGATTGTAAATTGGTTATGAAATTTTGGAAACTGATTTTTAAGGCAACGTGATATATTTGGTAAAGATATTGAATGTAACTCTAAAATTGCTTTGTTGTCAATTTTTGATAAGATGGATCTTGATTATTACCGAAGGAATTGATTACTAACTTTATGACAAGTGCTAGAATATTAATAGCTAGATTTTTGGAAAGACAAAAATGATAATAAATTAGAAGATTGGTATGGTGAAGTATGGGACATTACATTAAATGATAAATTGACTATTGAACTTAAGATGAAAAGAGGGGAAATAAGTTCCAATAGTTTTAATGCTATTTAGGGTAGATTTGTTGAATTTGTATTAGTGAAAGGAAAGGTGAAAGCCTCTAAACAATAATCTATACAATTTTGGAAAGGAAGTTTGTAATAAAAATATTGTTCAATGGGGTCCTGTGGTATGGGGTGCACGGTTGAATTTAATGTATAGCAACTACTATTATTTGTATTTTTGTATTTTTTATTGTATTTGTTTTCTGTTTCAAAAATAAAAATAATAAAAATAAAAAACAAACTCACCTGGAGGATATCCCTCTCATGGCAAACATTTTGAAACAGACTATGCACCCTTCCACTAACAAACTTTATGGCTATAAATGGAAGCGTTTTCAGTGTTATGCGGCATCACGTAACGTCCGGGATTCTCCTGTGTCTCTGCCCACAGTTCTTACCTTCCTATTATACCTCAAACAACAAGGATTTACTGTTTCCTCTATCAAAGTCTACCATGCCACTGTAGTTGCTCACCAACCAACAGGTCATCCCTCTGCATGATTCTTCAGACATCACACTGTCCAAAAATTCCAAAAGGGCCTTCAAAACACTTACCTCGATACATGACCTCCACAGGACCCCTGGTCCCTGTCACTAGTTCTTTCCCAGCTTACCAAGCCTCCCTTTGAACCACTGGCTACAATCGATCTCCGCCTTCTATCTCTCAAGGTTGGACTCTTGGTAGCGCTCACATCAGCACATCAGGCCACAGTGCTTATGGCTCTTCGATGTGACTCACCCTACAACATTTTTCTCCTGTGATAAGATCACTCTCCATACTGACGTTACCTTCCTCCCCAAGATAGTGTCTCATTTTCACGTGTCTTAACCTATCATACTGCTTACCTTCTATCCGTCTCCGCAGAATGACCTGGAATGATCCCTCCACTCCTTGGACATCTACTGAATGTTGGCCCTCTGCTTAGACAGAACAAAAGAATTTAGAAAAATGACCAAGCTTTTTGTCTCCTACCAAGGCCCCCCAAAAGGACAACCTTTTGGTTGTCGTCCCAACAAGCCCCCCCCCGGGCTTTCCACAGCCGCTCTACCACAGGAATTTCCTCCTCTGCTGCCTTTATGCAAGGTGTAGACATCCAGGACATCTGTCCGGCAGCCAAATGTTCCCAGCCCTTAACTTTTGTCACACCCTATAGAGTAGATATCGGGGCTCAGATAGATCCTGCTTTTGGTAGGGCTGTTCTATCATCTGTCCAGGCGTAACTCCCACCACCATAACTCTAGCTTGCTAGTCACCCTCTATGTGTGCATACAAGGACACCACAACCAAAAAGATTTGGTTACTTACGTAACTATTGTTATTTGAGTGGTGATCCATGTATCCACAAAATCTGTCCACCTTCCCTCTTGTTTCACCCTTCCAGTATTTTTTTAGAGGCAGATAGTTGGGACTGAGAAAAGTGGGGGAACACACACAATCAATATGGGCAGAGAGACACTTTTGTTTTTGAGGCTCTGGAACTTTCCTAAGCAAAGTCTGCGCAGGTGCAGACACCCATTTTGTGTGGATACATGGATCACAACTCGAAGAACCATAGTTACATAAGTAGCCAAAGCTTTTCTTCACCTGTATTCTGTGATCCTTTTAAATTGGTTATTAGAAGATGAGCACAGGCTTAGTCTTCAAGTCTGATTTCTAAGGCACTTGGTTCTTATGAAATTGCTTTATTGGAGGGGGAAGATTCTAATAGCAGAGAATGTGGCATTCCATTAATGTTTGGTTTGACGCCTTTTCCTTACTTGAAAAGAACAGTCTGTTAAAAATGGAAATATAGAATAGCTGTAAGCCACCTTCCAGCTGCAGCAACATTAAGGTGCCTCCCTTTGGAAGCACTATGATGTTGCTGCCTAATCTGAAGACATCTACGAGTAGTTGCTGGTTTTTGTTACAGCACCTCCATCAACAGTGTGTGATTTTCAGATATTTTGTAATTTGCTACTTCTTGTGAGTCTTTGTTCTCGTTCCTCACAGGGAAAGCAAACATCTAAACATTGTTGTTTTCTGTGGGGTTGTAGTCACCTTATACAGTAGTATATGTTGTATCTCTTATTAAAAAATTTCTTCCTGGAGCTTTTGGAGGAGGATATTAAAGTTGGCATGTGTTTGTCTGAATGTGAAATCGGCCGTTTGGGGGAGAAAGAAGCATATATTTTTGAAGAAGGGATGATTTTATGTCATTAAAATGCCTCTTTCATTGGTATATTTGACTAGGAGAATAGCACCACAACTGCTGTTACATTGCACACCAAGATTAGGAGTGAGGTACTTGACAAAGAATCTGTTGGGCCCAAAGGGCAGGTCTATAAACATAGAATAATTGCTGTTGTTCTTTTTTCACAAGTTTGGTGATGTGTCTAGTATGTAATGCTATGGCAAGGAAAAACATCAAAATCCCATGTAGTATTTGCATGTTTTTCCAAATGATAGATACCCCACCGCACATACACAAATACAACCTCATGAAACCATGAGTACTGTGTAACATAATGCTCCTGGTCTCATTATGATGTTTCCCCCTCTATCACTGTAAGTTATGAAGAAGCACTCAGAGGATATGTGACACAAATCTGGTGGCAACATCTTGATTGGAAAATATAATGAAGAAACTGCAGCCTAGTGCCAATTAGGAACTGTGTTTTGACTTAAGAGTGCGGTCACATGGAGGAATAGATCACAATTTGGAGCACTTGTGGAACAGCCCAGAGCAAAATCTGTTTTCTGGTAATCACTTTATATACAGAGAAATGTGCTCCAGCCTGACCCTGATCTCTGCCCAGGTTGGACCTTTGCACAGAAAGCTTCTTAGTGACATATCCGTCTCCCCTGGTTTTGTTTCAAGGTGGTCCTAGATGTTGGCTGTGGATCAGGAATCCTTTCATTTTTTGCTGTCCAAGCTGGAGCTAGAAAAGTCTATGCTGTTGAAGCCAGTGCAGTGGCAAAATATGCTGAGGTAAGTATGTTGAATGTGATCCAGTTCCTGGATTGTTTTGGCATGTTTTGCTTTGTGCCTGAGAAACCAGATATTTGTGATTTTACTGTAAACTTTGGAGAGCTGGTGCTTCTGGCCAACACACTATGTGTTGCTTCCAAACAATACTTACTTCACAGGACATAGGTAGAATCGTGCTTTGGAGCTCACAGTTATTCTAACTCCCTGAATCTACTAATTAAATGGCAGCAAGACAGTGTTTATTTTACTGAGGCTTGTCTCTGCTGAATAGCTACAATTCAGTTTAGCACTTTGGATTCCATTTTCAGAGATAATACATGAAAAGGGGATCGTTGAGGTCTTAATTCTCTCTCTCTCTTACAGCACATGCCTTTTCTCTGTCTCTCAGACACACCGATGGAGATAGATACATATGAATTATGTGCCTCCCTTAGCAACTGTAAATACATCCTTGCAAATTGCTGGTTTGTGCTTTGAAAAACGTAGACCAAGGATGTTCATTGTAATGCCATTGAAGCTGGCAGTGCTTCACTAAATTAATGCTGGTACACAATAATTGAGTGTGGCTTTTAAAAAAATTACAATAAAAGGTTGCTTTTGATTACAGCTGAATAATGTTTCTCTTTATAATATAGAACATTCCATGTCTATTATTTTGGCTATGACTGAAAAACATAATAGGACCCTTACTCTCTGAAACTCAGCTATAACTTTGAACAGAAAGCTGTCCTCTTTAGGATTAACTGCTGGTCAGCTATGAATATAAGTGATGCACCTTAGAAAGCGAGGTGCCTGCTCTCCTGAGATCCTGATCCACTTCACTTCAGGAAACAGAACATGTTATATGCACAAGTTATATAGATCTTGTGTATGTCTTGTCAGTTGCATTGAGCACTCCATTAGGGGCGAGCAGGTAGGAACTGGGAGAATTGAAATTGGCAGATACTGGTTATCTGCGTTAATGTTTTCTTGCATACATATGTAACTTTAAGATGTCTGGTTATCTGATTATTTTGGGTATTACCAAAGCCATTTAGGATAGACTAATATAGTTTATTCAGCAGAATGCAAAATAAGATAGGTTATAATTAAACGGCGTGGTGTGTTGTCATCCCAGTGGTATAACTTGCAAAATAAACAGTGTTGGCATGTCAGTAATATTATTTGAATGTAAAATTAAAATAAAAGCAAAACAAAAAAAACCCCAAAGCCTCGTTCATTCAAAGGCGGTTTTCCATTCAGTATGTCATGTTTTCTCACATGATTCCATATTTTAGACTTGCAAGAGTCACCTTTATCTTAGCTGAGAGAAACAAAAAATTTGACAAAGACTGGAATATTGTCATTAAGGTTCCCTCTAAGGTGTGCTCCTGCACGTTGTGTGCAGCTCCACCCCCCACTCCCTTGCATAGGGCTCCTCCTCTATGCACCCAAAGTGACTGCTGAAGTCACACATGCAAGGAACAGAAAATCTAGTCAGTTGGAGTTGACGAAAAGATGGGGTCCTGCATTGTGGCTCTTTTTTAACTATGGTAGATTTCCTTGCTTACATTATGTGCCCTGCCCTAGGCTTTTATTTAGCAGATTGTCCATACTTAGATGTAAAAGAAAAAAGTCTGTGCGGTCCTTGTACAAAATCCAGAACATAGGTAAGTACTACCTTTACCAGAGTACCTACATATAAAAAACAGGGGAGTTTTCAAGAGTCCTGCTTTTCTTCAGGCTGCTCATTCCAGACTGGGACAGGGGGAAAAACAAGAATAGTCATGGCCAGATGTTGATACTTCAGACTTATCTTCACACTTATTTAGGTATGGAACCCACTGAACTCCGTAGAACCCTCAAGCAGATATTCCTGCCACTGCATTGCGTGTCTTATCAGGATTAAGCAAATAGGTGAAGAAATCTGACTGACTACTTTAATGCTGTGTGTTCTAATTTCATTTGGAATGATTTTCTACTGAATTCAGTGGGGTTGATCCAGATAAATGTGTTTAGAATACAGAACAAGAATTCTGTATGAAGGCAAAGAAAGAATGTGGTGTTAAACTGAAGGGAATTTATGGAGCGCACTTGAATAAACAGGACATGGGTACAGCTATGCATGAGGAAAAGGTATCTGAATGTCAGCTAGGTCAGCCAGTGCTGGGTTCATTAGAAATAAAAAATTAGCCCTTGTGGAATACAGAGTTGCTTTCCATATGAGTCGGGGAAAGGCACTTCCACAACAGATTTTCTTTTGAAGAGAGACCCAAACAGAAGAAGCGATCATTCTTAGGGATGCTACTGTGATGTTCATGTCCACAGGGTGAGGTTTACTATCTAATGAACAAAAGTCTTGTTTGGAGCAAGGAATGTAAGCCAAGCTGTAGGTTTTGAACAATTCACTATTAAAAATAATACCCAAGGAATAGCTCTTAATACATCAGGGGAAGAAGCATGCAGTACACTCAGTGTTAAAATCTGAGGCATTAAAAGAATTAAAAGGCTAGGGAAAATAACAAAGCCTTTTTTTCCTGGTGTCTGAAAGACATCAAATAAATAAACACTAGGCTTACTGCCTTGAAAAAGAAATTCCAAACCGTATGTTAGGAGGCTAGAAATAATGCTTTAGAATTCATGTGCTAGAATGGAATGCTTTCAAAGTAATGTTTTAGAAGTAAATTTAAATCATTTTTGATATCTTTAAATCTTTATGTATGCAATATGTGTGCCCATACCTTTCTTGGTCAGAAAGAAGACATTCATACACTGCTTCATAAGAAATGTATGTATGTATGTATGTATGTATGTATGTACGTACGTACGTACGTACGTACGTACGCACGCACGCACGCACGCACGCACACATTTGTTTGTTTGTTTGTTTGTTTGCTTATTTATTTATTTAT